CTCTTACCCCCAGTCCTTGCTTATGTGCTGCCTGCCTCTTCTCTGCAATACCTTACCTCCTTGTTCATCCGTACTCCATCTCCACAGCCCTCCAGATGGCTTGCTGCGTAAATGCGGATGAAGGTAAAATCTGGCTAGCAGATTGCAGATCAGATGACACATTGAACCTGGTAGATGTGGGTTGGATATGGATCCACATTTTTGTATCCATGTAGGGTTCTTGCTATCTAAGCAAAGAGTAACTGGGTTTGGAACCCTTTTCAGATTCTGTTCATTTGCTTCTCACTGTCATGAGGTGAACTGTAACCCAGGGCTCCCTCTGGGCTGGAGTTCTGGGGGAGATGTACGAGTCTGAGGGATCATCACTGGTCCTGGTGCCTAGGGCAGCTGAGCCATATGGTCCCATTTCCCAGAAGAGGTAACAAACCATCCATGCTCAAGTCATATACCTGAAAGACGAAGCAAAAGTACAGAGCTGCAGCCTACTTAAACCAAGGGATACGTAAGAGCACACAGTCCCTGGGCAGTGGGACACAAGCACAGCAGCATGTGTTCCACCCAGGGAGAGCTGTACCAGGGCTATGGGTGACATATGGCCTTTACATTTTTCTCATGACCAGATTGCAGTTTGTCACATAATTGAGTCTGACAGACCATGAGATCTAGATCTGAAGGATTTGGATACTTTGGGTAAACCAGTTAAAAAAAGAAAAAGAAAAAGAAATGTCACATTAAGCATATCTGCTTCAACAGCAGAAAGTCATCCCAGAGTGTGTTTTAGTATGCCTTACAGTGCTGCTTGAGGTGCGTACCAATAACACATCCTGTTGCTGCTTGTTGTCACCCTTTTTCACCCAAGTGACTAGTCAACATTCATGATCTTGTTTCCAATAGAAGGCAAAATTTATGATATCCTGATATGGCACTGATGCAGTCATGTTATGTACACAGCATGTACCCAAAATCTCATTAATCTCTGAGGATAAAACAAGAAGCAATAGGCTTAAATTGTAGAAAAGGTGGTTTAGGCTAGACATTAGGAAAAGCTTTTGAACTGACAGCACGTTGAGCTCTGGAATAAGGGTATGTCTACACTACCCCGCTAGTTCGAACTAGGGGGGGTAATGTAGTCATCCACAGTTGCAAATGAAGCCCGGGATTTGAATTTCCCGGGCTTCATTTTCATGAAGCTGGCTGGGGCCATTTTTAAATGTCGGCTAGTTCGGACCCCGTGCCACGCAGCTACACGCGGCACGGACTAGCTAGTTCGGATTAGCTAGTGGAACAGCTAATCCGAACTAGCTAGTCCGTGCCGTGTGTAGCCACGCGGCACGGGGTCCGAACTAGCCGGCATTTAAAAATGGCGCCGGCCGGTTTCATGCAAATGAAGCTCGGGAAATTCAAATCCCGGGCTTCATTTGCAACTGTGGATGACTACATTACCCCCGCTAGTTCGAACTAGCGGGGTAGTGTAGACATACCCTTATTCCAGAGCTCAACGTGCTGTCAGTTCTTACTAGGCCAGTTGTGGTGATTTTAAAGAGCAGGTTAGATAAACACCTGTTGGGATGGTATAGATAATACTTTAGTCCTGCCATGGGTCCAGGGAAGTGGATTAGATGACTTCTTGAAGCCCTTCCAGGCCTATAGTTCTATAATTCTGTAATAGGAGGGAGAACCACTTAACCATCAAATTGTGTCTGGTCTTTATACAGGAGTGTGGGTGGATGCAAATAGCCTTCTCTCCTTGTCTCCATAATAAAGGTCAGGCATGAGCAGTTGTCTCCTTTTAGTGCTCCAGGGATATACAGTATCCCACAGCAATTCACCTTCGCCGCAGCTTTCAGATCCATCTGGCTGCTCCGGGCGGAGTAGGATGGACCAAATAGATATGCACTCCCTTGTGTAATGGAGAACCAAGTATGGTGTTTTGCCTCTCTGTAGTCATGAAATTTTACTTCATCCCCAGTGTTCCTCTGTGTGGAAAACATAAAACCTGATCCCTCACAAGAAAAATAATAAAGCAGGTAAAACTGCAAGACCAAAGATCTGGGAAAGCAATATTATTGTACAATGTAGCATCCTTGCTATGGACATCATTGTGTGTGTGTGTGTGTGTGTGTGTGTGTGTGTGTATGTAATAAGGGTTCAGCTCTGATGAATTAGAACCAAGATCTGTGGCTCTAAAAGTATTAAACGTCTGTTGCTTGTGTTAAAGGACCAGATCAGTTAGCTTGAAGGCCATAGCAGACTCATAATAACCCTCTTTATGTGATCCAGCCTGGAGGGAAGTACAAAAAACATGCAATATTATCATCAACACCTCATAAATATAAGTTGACTTGTAAAAATGTGGAATTAAATATGTCTAGCTAGAGAAAGGGGCTCAATTGACGATTTATTCAATGAACAGTTTAATTTTAATATTGTCTTAAGGGAGTGGAAAATTTGGGGAAGGGATTATATTACTTTTAATTTTGTTCATTTTATTTTGAGGTGCAGGAAGGAAGAAGTTTTGCAAGTACTTGGAGCACACTCATGGGAGTCACAAAGTAAAAGGATATTCCTGGCTCTAACAGCAATTTGTTCTTTGGGTCTCAAGTTAATTCAGCCAAGATTTTTAAAATTTGGTATCCTAAATTAGGCACATAATTAAATACTCTGGTTTTTAATTAAAGTCAGCGAGAGCCAAAGGTGCAAAGCCTTTTCGAGAGTCAGGCCACTGATTTAGGAATTGTAATATAGTTTATGTTTCCAGCTTGGGTGCCTAAGTTTGAAAATACAGCTAAGTGCAAGGCTCAGTTAATCAAAGTCTGCAGAGCACTTCCAGTTCCTAATAAAGTTAATGCTGTGCAAATGCATGCCAGTGTCTTTTCTTGAGGCATGGAAAGGCTCCAGCATTAAGACACTACACTGTTAAACATAGCAATATAGATAAGGAGGCACATTTTAGGCAAATAGAGCCATGTAGGAATGATTCAGGAATGCATTTATCTACACTGCTGAATATAGCAATGGTACTGGGACTACATGTGCATGCACTGTGCAAACTGCCAAAAGAAGTGTGCAATGTAGATGTACCTTTACAGGATAATTTGTGTTATAAGGATACAGTGATATGAGTGATTTTTGTAACATTAAAATGATCACACATCTGTAGCACATTATTAAAATACACTATTACTAGATGAAGCTCCTTTGATGTGGTAAACAATGTCTATGACATTATTCAACAGCCATACATACTATGTTATAGATAACAATTAGTAGTAGTATCCAGTGGAAATCTGCCTGCAATGAAAAATCCACTAAGATAGTATAATAAATTCCCTCAGAGTTACTGCATTTTATTTCTTTTTTTCAGAAACACAAGTCTCTTTGTTACTTCAGCCAAATAGTGCTTTTGGCCATGTATTGTCAGTGAATACTCTCAAAAGTGCCCTTTGGTGGATAGTAAGAAATTGAAACAGCAATTCACTCATTGAGTAATTATTGCTCTGGATAGACTCTGTAGTATAGTATAGTATAAACACCAAACTATACGCTTTATTTAT